CTCGCGTCATTCCCTCGGCGCCGCTAGCCCCAAAGCCAGTGTCAAAAAGAGCCTGACCTCGGGGGCAGGTGCACATCTTTTTTTCTGATTTGTTTTTTTTTTTTTACTTTTGAAAGCTCTTCTGAGATAAGCAGGTAAACATGAAAAGCAGCATGGAAAGATATTCCGCGTTATTCCGTGCTAGTTTGAATTTTTATTTGTCCTGCAACGTGGGAACCAGCCTGCTCCCGTTCCTCCTGGCCTTGAAGAATGACAGAGGGAAACCCAGGGAAATGAGTCATCAAGGAGCTCCTGGAAGAAGAGAGACCTAGATTTGGTAAATGCGGAAGGTATTCCGTAACCCAAGCTTCCCAGCTGAAAAAGCCAGCAAATTCAGGGTAACGGCGTCCTTCTGGCTAAGCTGGACATCACAGAAGTCGGTTCTTTGCCAGGTCAGCCAAAGCTGCATTTATCATTCATCTGTTGGAAGTTCTCCCTCCCAGGAACCACATGGTGAGGCTGAAGGACAGTTTATTACAGCCTTCCAACAGTTCGCATTGTGGACCAGCAGCTGCGTGTCACCAGCTGGCGGTTCGGCTGTGTGACTAAGCATCTCCAGTTCCCAAATATAGCCCTTCAACTGGAGCTGTTGGCATTTTTTTTCCCTTCTTTTTTTTTTTTTCTCTTCCCATATAAGAAAGGCAGGCAAAGTCGTCTCGTGATGACCCCCATGCTGTTTCTTTTCAGTCAAGAGGCTGCAGCCCAGCCCAGCCCAGCGTAGCTCCTGATGTTTGGCCTCACGACGTTTCCAGTTTACACCCTCCGGACAGGCGAAGCGCCGGGGGGATGCAGAGCCAGAAATTCAGCCCAGACATCCAGAGCCTCCATGTGTCAACCCATCCCCTGGACCACACGTGCAAGCGTGTTCGGAGAAGTCCTCATGCTTCAGCGGCATCCAGGATGGCAAGTCCATGGATGAGGCAGGGTCAGCGAAACAGGGAGGCGAGCAGAACTTGGGGTGTTACACTTTTTGCCAGAATATTGATCCACTCAGTCTTTTTAGGTCAGGACATCTTCAGAGCAGTGCTTTGTGATTTGTGTTTGTATGATGTCCAGCTAAGCTCAGGCTCAGCACCAGTGGGTGTCATGAGCAGATGAATAAGCAAGGAGGATCTTGCACTGGACCAAGACACAGGAGAACTGAATCGTTTCCAAATCTACTGCACATTCATTCTGTGATTTTTGGAGAACTTCTTTAAGCTACCTACATCCTAGCTCTTCCTCTCTCTTTCTCCATTTGACTTCAATGTCTGTAGACTCAGTAAGGGTGCCTGATGTTTGTACAGAAAAGGGTACAAAGCCTTTTCCTCGGGACCCACTTAAAAAAGGAAGAAAGGAATGAAAGACAGTAGTTGAGAACACAGCAGAAAAATTCTCCCCTCGTTTCACAGTTTGGAGTAGCATATTTGTGCTAATGGAATGGAGGGTATAGAAAACAAAATTAAAATGATGCTGCTTTCCCCTCGATGGCAATGATCAGCAGCTCGGGGTCCCTTGCTCAGGCGAGCCAAAACACCTGCCAACCTCCCGCATCGCCTCCGGGCTTCCCTGCCAGGACACTCCCAGGACAGCAGCGCTCCCACCTGTGGCTCGGACTCGGGAAAATGAATAATTGGGAGGATAAACCATGTTGCCTCTGAAGTCAGGGAACACTTGAAAAGCGTTTTCCTTCAACATTTCACTTGGTGCTGGAACAACTGGGGTGGTTACACCCTCCATACTGTCTTCCTAGACCAAGCACATGCAACCACACATTGATAACGATATTTCTCAGCATGGTTATCAGCTTCCTTGTCCCAGTTACTGGGGCTAAAAGGAGAAATCAGAGCGGGCAGATGATCAAACAGCCTCTCACAGCTTTCTCTGTTGTGCCATGTGCCACTGAAGAGGACATGGAAAAGCAATGTTTGTAGGAGCTAGCCAGGGTGTTGGGTACTGCGAGGCAGGGATTTTTGAAGGAACTGTAACACACCTCTTCGGAGCCATCAGCCAGATTTTGCAGTTCTCTGTGGAACATGTAGGGACAGAGCCGTCTCAGGCTGTGCTGGTTGAGATCTCTGGGGAAAGATTTCATTTGCAAAACTGATCCATGCAAAATGCTGAAGGACACTGAGGCAGAACCCAGCAGTGTCCTCCCAAGGCACTGTGCCCACGCTGTCTCCAGCACCTCCTGGCGCAGGCTGCGAGCCCTGTGCGCGCCGGCTCTGCTGTGTCCCGAGCAGCAGTAGTGCTGTGGGTCTGCCGTGGGTTGCAGCGGGAGCAATAGTTGCAAATGAGATGTCACTTCTCCAAAAAAAGGACTTGGAGCGTTGCAGGGGTTTTGCGTAGCGCGTGCGTACGCACAGACAGGAGGTGATGGGGACTGTCAGGTCGTAACAAGTGGATTTTGTTTTCAGAGCCATTTTCTGATTTTGTTTTTACTTGCTGCTTCCTCTATAAAAATCTGGGAGCAGCCTCAGGATAAGTGTTTGGGTTCTTTTATGGATTGTTCTGTCTTACTTCTTACAGGGTTACTTAAAGCAGTGCCGGAAGAGGAGGGATATGTTCAGTGATGAACAGCTAAAGATCATCTTCGGTAACATCGAAGATATCTACAGATTTCAGATGGGTTTTGTCCGGGACTTGGAGAAACAGTACAACAATGAAGACCCCCATCTTAGTGAAATTGGACCATGTTTCCTTGAACACGTAAGTTTATTTGGCATCTTTGTTTGGGAGTTTTGGGGCTTTTTCGGCGAGGACAGGAGGGGAATAGCAGAGAAAGTCAGGAGACAGGAACCACTCAGAATAACTTTTGTGCAGCAGTGCTGTTTAAGTCACATCACTGTTTACTTGGTGAGATACAGGTGTAGGGAGAATTCAAAGTGAAGCATATAATTGGATAACGGCCCCAGTACCTTTGAATCCCAACACCTTTTTGCAGCCACTCTTACTCACGTTACGTAGGTACCACGTCCCCCACCTACTCCCCACCTTACTTTGCTCTTCAGAATATGACTTAAACGCACTCACAGACCATCCTAATAAGGTCATGGATGACCAGGAGGTTGGAAGAGGTAAGAGAGTCCAGAGAAGTAAAAACAAGCCTTAATTGTGCATTACACAAAAAAAGTAGAGGAGAGCAAATGCCCGGGCTGTTCACTGCGGTGCCGAGATCTGTGTGCCAGGGGTGAAAAACCCACGTGGCTTCAGTGGCCTTCCCCTGCGGAGCTGTTGGGCTGGGTCGGGAGGTGCCAGCTCGTGCTTCTTGCTGCCCAGGTGGCAGCAGGGCAGCAGATACTCGCTCACACTAAGTGCACACTGAGCAGGACATTTTAGCTGATGATATGGTCCTGGATCCTTTCGCCCAGCCCATCGTACTGTTACACAGGACACGTACTACAGGAGCTGATAAATTGACCAGTGTTGTAAATATGTCAGGAAAGGTCAAGAAAATTATAGTCCTGCAGTTTTAGGCTTTTTTCTAGGGAGAATGAAGCGCTGTATCTGAGGTGCTCCGACCTGGGATGCAGGTCCTGTGCTGTGTTACCTCGTTACTTACAGTCAAGGCTGAGCTGGCAACAGTTCACGTCTTATTAGAGAAATTTCCGATAGATGTTCATGAAACTTCAGCAGGGCATCCCTAAGAAGGTTCACAGCTTCTCTTAAGCATCGTTGGTCTTCTAGTTGAAAAGCAAGTTTCTTTTTGAGAAGTTGCATGATAGCGTGAACATTGCTCGTTTTAATCAGAGCCTGCGACCTCCGCTGCTTCCTTCCGAAGCAGCATCATGTTCCACCTCTGAGCTAAAAAGATGTAAGAAATCTTGGTGAGAATCAGTAGCTAAAACGTCGTGTCTCGAGGCTGTGCTGTCAATTCATTCGCAGTGACAATAGGAAGAATTGCCACTGTTATTCGGAGGAGTATCTTGACACTTATCTGTCATCAAATAGGGACTGAAAGCTGGCTGTTAAACTCCTGATAAATTATCCCTATTTAGCCATTTGGGGAAACTGAGGGAGGAGGACGTTGAGATCCTGTTGTATGGATCTGCAAAGCGTCTTGTTCCTCATCTGCCTCAGGAAGAGAGAGGTGTCAGCACTTGGCTCTTGCTCAGCTGTGGGGATGAGAAAGAAACTGGGCTCCCCTGTTCCCAGAAAGGCAGGTTGGTTGGGCCCTTATGGGGCTGAGAAATAAGAATTACTGGTCAAATATATATTTTTTTTAAAAAAAAAACCTGTCCTTTCTGTAGTTTGTAACTCATTGTCCACAACCTGATGTAGCATCTCAGGCTGTTCACCTACAACACCTGGGCCTATATCTGGGCTGTCTCAACTACAGTGTTGATGCGTGATGTTGGGCGGCCAGTTTGTGTCTGTCTCTCCGTTCCAGATCTTCCTTTGACCTTTCATCTGCCGTGTCCATGTGGCCCAGAGGAATCAAGCCTGAGTTAAGGGTGATGAACTGCCATGGCCCCATCTGTGGTCAGGGAAAGCAGAAAAAAGATTCCAACAAAATTAGCACAAAAAGACTTGTTAGAGCAGTGCAAAGGGTGGGTGGGCGCACATGTGAGTGGTTTTTTTTTTTCTTTGTTTTTCCAGTCTTTATGTTTTCTGGCTCTCTGGTCCTGGGGAAATCCACACAGTGGTTGGTGCCTTGGGTTCCCTGATGGTGAAGGGAATTTCAGCAATAAATTGAATTGAACCCAGCTCCTAAATATTTGCCAGATGCTT